GGAGGGTAGGATCCATGCTGCTTAGCTCATGTCCCATCTCATTTAGGCTGAGCTGTCTCATCTGACCCTAATGATAACTCTGTGAGATAGATGGCAGGGGTTGTTGTTGCTATTTAATTGCTGAGTCTTGTCTGACTCTTTGCTATCCTGTAGCCCGCCAGGCTTCTCTGTCCATGGAATTTCCCAGGAAGGAAGACTGAAATGGATTGCCATTTCTTTCTCCAGGGGATCTTCCCAACCCAGGGATCGAACCTGTGTGTCCTGCATCTCCTGCATTGGCAGGCAGGTTCTTACTACTGAGCAGCCTAGGAGGCTGAATAGCAAGGGTACATCTCCCTACTTTGCAGGTTGGGAGATGTGGCCCAGGGAAGTGAGGGACTTGCCCTGTATCACCTCCCTGCTCAGAGTGGAATCAGATTCAGTGCACTTCTGCCTGCACCAGAGCCTGTTCGCGGGATCCAGCCTCCGTGGAGCAGAGGTGCCCAGCCTTCGTGGGATGGGGACTCCCATGAGAGGCAGCTGGGCCGGAACCTTGTGCATGTCACAACAAGGGGCCCACACGTGCGCCTCCTTCCCCACCCTGGTTGGAGCCAGAAGAACTGCCCTGTTTCCCACAAATAGCACTTCTGTTCAATCCGGCCTATTTTCTATCTTCCTCGGTTTGACTGGCTCCAGCAATGCTTGCTTCCTTGTGTCAGACACAAAATGTAGCCCTGTTGCAACCCAAGATGTAGAATAACTTTTCTTGTAAGTGAATCATAAAATGCACTTTCTTTGTCAAAATTTCCTACTAGGCCTGCTGGCTCAACAGGAGATGTAAGATGCTGCGAGAACAGTTGTCTGTCATATGTCATTGTGGTGACTCATTGTATCTGAGGGCTCATGACTGAGGTATGAAGCAGAACTAAGTTTAGTGCAGTTTTACTGTTTTCAGGGGGAATGGTGATGACAAAGCAGAGATCTTTTTCAGCTTACAGAAAGCCCTGGACTTAATGGCTTAGACTTACATATCTGAAAATTTTCATTTTATTTTAAGGAGCAAGAGGATTAAAACCAAGAAAATAGCAGAGCAAGTTGTTGTTAGGCAGTGATCAAAAAGAAAATATCAAATGATTTTAACAAAAATAAATGACCATGCATTTAACAAAAAGTGAAAATTCAAAACAGGAGGAATGTTTGTGATAAGCATGTCAGATTGATGTAAAAAGTATAAGCAGATCTATAAGAAAGATTCATGATCCCAATAAGTAATAGTAGAAGGTGTCCATACATCATTCATAAATGAGAAAACACAATTAGACAAACACAGGAAAGGTTCCTCCTAGCCAGCAGAGAAGTGCAAATAAAAGGAGATAGCACATTTTTCTTTATTAAATGAGAGAAATTTTTTTAACTGATAAATCTGGTGTTAAAAAGGATGAAAACATAAATATGCTTATCCATTGACCAAGTGGCTATAAAATAGTACTAACTTGTCAGAAATCATTTTGACAGTGGGTATTGAATAGCCTTTAAAATGATCCTTTTTTCCTGAACTAGTATTTCTAGGTCTAAGAATTCAAAAACGAAAGTCTAAGAATGGAAAACCATTATGCACAAATACACTTATAGCAATGTTATTTATATATCAAATTGGGAAACAGATGTTTAGATGCTGGGAAAGGCTAAGTAAACTGCAGCATGTCTTGTCATTAGAACAGTAGGAGGATATAACAATTTGGAAAATGTAGATTAAGTAAAAAGTAGGATGCAAAATTGTAATCCAATTTTATTTTTTAAAAAACAATGTATAAGAGCCAGGGAAGAGTTGAAATTTAAGTCCACGCAAAAGCCTGCCCATGGATGTGGCTAGCAGCTGTTTATTCATAATCTCCAAAACTTGGGAGCAACAAAGATGTCTTTCAGTAGACAAATGAATAAATAAACTCTGGTACATTCAAACAATGGAATATTATTTGACATTAAAGAGAAATGAGCTATCAAGCTATGAAAAGACATGGAGGAAACTTAAATGCATATTTCTAAGTGAGTGAAGCGAATCTGAAAAGGTTCAGATGTTGCATGGTGTTCTGGAAAAGGCAAAGCTATGGAGATAGATAGTAAAGAGTGGTTGCCAGAGATGGGGGAGAGGGATGACTAGGTGGGGCACAGAGGAATTTGGGGGCATGGAAACTATTCTGTACCTTATTCTAGTAATGGATACATTATAAATTTGTCCAAACCCATAGAATGTACACCACCAGGAGTGAACCCTAATTGAACAGTGACCTTTGGGTGATAATGATGTGTCAAAGTAGTTTCATTAATTATCACAAATATACCATTCTGGTGGAAGAAGTTCATAATGTGGCTGGGCAGTGGTCTGTCTGAAATCTCTGTACCTTCTGCTTGGTTTTGTTGTGAACATAGAACTGCTCAAAAAAATAAGGTCAAAAAAAGAAATAAAACACAGAAGAGGAAAAAGACTGGAAATATTTACAAAGGTTACGATAGACTTATTATTTTTGTTTTCATGTCTGTAATTACCATTTTAAAACATGAACATGCCTTAATTTAAAATGGAAAGAAAAAAAAATTTCAAGAGTTTAAGATGCTAGGAAATGAAGTTGTACATGTGGTTGTGTATTTAAACAATCCTGAGGGTTTCTCATCCCTTTTTCCCTCTTAGTGGCCAGAGTTTTGTAAACGCACATTCCTTTTGGCTATTTGTGAGTTTACACAGTTGACCTTATACTTAAAGGCATGGTCAGCTAGAGTTTCTGTTCCCAATAAAAATAAGCTATCTTTGGGGACTCTTGGTGTGAACTATATTCTTAGAAATTTCCCCACTAGTCACTGTATGACTCAGACTTTGTTATTTTAAAACTCAAGGACTGTATTAGAATAGTCTGTTTTCTTTTATTAAATGTATATATATTTAGATAGATAGATATTTGTGTTTAATTTACTGTTTTTCAAAGATTATACAATCACATGTGTGCGTGCTAAGTCGCTTCAGTTGTGTCTGACTCTTTGCAACCCTATGAACTGTAGCTCACCTGGCTCCTCTGTCCATGGGATTCTCCAGGCAAGAATACTGGAGTAGATTGCCATGCCTTTCTCCAGGGGCTTTTCCCAACCCAGGGATCAAACCCGCATCACTTATGTCTCCTGCATTGTCAAGGGGGTTCTTTACCACTAGTGCCACCTGGGAAGCCCCTAGACAATCACATGGTTTAGTAATTTAAATTTAAAAGTGAAATAATTAATTGAAAAAATATGTGTGCAGTGATAATTCTCTCTGTCCAGTCTTCTATCTCGTTAGTTCCTCAGCACCCACATTCTAAGGAATACTTTTTAAATTCTTTAATGGATATTTCCAAAGTGAATATTTCCGAAGTTTCTCTATGCTTGTGCACATAAATACTAAGATATATCATTTTCTCCTTTTTTTATACAAAAAATGACACATTTTACACATTGTCCAACACCTAGGCTTTTCACTTAATAATGGTTCTTTCCTTATCCTGGTATAAATAGTTCCTCATTCCAGTTTCAAAGGACCCTTTGTGTGCACTTATGGATTCACCATGATTTCCTTAACCAGTCCCATGCTGATGGACAGTTAGGCTGTTTCTAATCTATTGCTGTTACCAATAGCACTATAATGACTTATATGTACCTATTGTACCCATGCAAGAATATCCACACAATAAATTCTCAGAAGTGAAACTGCCAGGCCATAGAATATAAATCTTTGTAATTCTGATAGCCCTGTGATCCTGATTGCTGAATTATTCTGCATCAGGAAGGGTTTCCACTTGTACCCCAATACTTCTGAGCGCCTGACTCCTCATACCCTTGCCAAAAGAGTGCTTTGCCTTAAGTTTGATTGTTGCCATTCTGATGTGTGCAGAAAGAAAGTACAGTACATTTTTATTTGGATTCCTCTTTCTTGAGAAAGTTTTAGCACATTTTCCTAGGTATGAGCCTTTCCTCTTGGGTGAAAACTGTTTACCACCTTCATTCATTTTGGTTATTGGGTCATATTTTAATGGATTTCTAGAAGTCCTGTGTATCATGGAGATAGCCTTTCTTGGTAACTGTACTTACCTGGCCGATTATGTGTCTGAGGACAAGAGAGGTACTCTCCTCTGGGTTGCTGGAGCCAGTAGGATGCATTTGAAAGAAGACTGATGGCCATTCAAGAAAGTGTGTGAACTCTATACGCAGGTAGCCTTGACAGCAGGTTTCACATCAGGCCAGTCTGGGTGTGCAGTTTTTGTGTTGTGTGCTTACAGTGTCGCTTAGGGCAAGTCACTTGGCATCTTTGAGTCTTGGTATTCTTACCTGTAATATAAGGCTTACCCATTACTTTGGGTTATAATGGATAACACATAGGATATGATACTACAGTGATTGCATAAGTAACTACCCAGATAACTGAAGACACTCACTACACTCCTGAGGATCATTTCAGCCTCTACCTTATAGGTGAACGTACAGCAGGAGGATAAGGTATGACCAATCATGGTGGACTCGGGGGGCTCCCAGCTGCAGTTCCCCAGGGTCATTTCTCCCTTGCACAGGGGCTGCTCTGTCTCTGGATTGTGAACTACAAAGACATGTGCAAGGAACACTGGTGTTAGGGGAGCTCAAGAAGTTTTTAGTGATATCTTAACACCCTACTGGTGATATAGCCAAGCCAGACTGAGTAAACCCATTAACTACGTGTAAACCACTAATCTATACATTGCCAAACAATGTAAGCAAGCTGGCCCTGGGTCTCTCCAGAGATTTTGGAGTGTTAAACAGCACAGTATATATCCCTAACCAGCTCATCTCATCATCCTTAGCCAAGGGTCAGTACCAGACATCCCTAGGGATAAGCACAGAGCCATCTCATTTCAGCTCTAAAAAATCCTACCTTACATAGGTTCATCTGGGTTCTCAGAAACTGTTGCTCCCTTTCCTTGGAACAAACCTGCCTTTGCCTTCACCGAGACCTTTTTCTTCTGCAGCTCAGGGGAGACTGTCACCAGCGTGACCAGCTTGGCCCCTCTGCAGCCCAAGAAGGGCAAGAGGCGGAAGGAGAAAGTTGATGTTCCTCCTGCAGTTCCTGCCAAAGGTAGGAGACTAGCCAGTGGTCACCCCCGTGGAGAGCAGAGCCCCTGGGGTCTGATGTGAGTTTAGGACAGGAGAGAGCCAGATGGAGGATGTGACATTCCTGATTATAAGGTCTGGAAAACTCCACCTAGACTCTGATCATATCTGAGCCCTGTCCCTGAGGTGGGCCGAGGGGGGCGTGGGGCCATTGGCCACACACCTCTACAGATGATTCTAAAGTGTATTTCCCTCTGAACTACTAACATAATCTGCACAAAGCAGGATGGGGCAAAAGGGTGTCTGTTCATTTAAGGGAAAAATTTCTCTGATTTTTCTAAGGATGAAAAACAGGTGTGTAACTTAGTTTGGATTTGTTCTAGGGATAAAATGAGGGTTATTCCTTGATTCCAAGGAATTATGACAGAGAAACATAAATGAGGAAGATGGGCATTTCCTGAGGCAAGAACTAAAGGTGTCTTTAAATAGCTCCTCAAATAACTGTGGCTGACTTAGGAGGTCATACCTCAAAGGTTTTGATATATAGTTGGGAATACAAGGGTTTCCCCGATGAATAATTTAATAACAAGACAAGATCCATTATATTCCTCACCTGGGAGTTTCTAGGATGTCCCCTAAGCACCCTTGGAGCCCTGTGGTAGAAGGCAGTGTTGCTGAGTCTGAACATGTATCAGGTGGACGGAAGAGGCTGGGAGTCATGGGTGTCCTGGGAGGCATGACATGTGTGGATCTGGGGAGGGAAGGGGGTGGTCCCTGCTCTGGGTTGGGCAGTGTACTGTTGTAGCGTCTCATTCAATCAGAGTAGACAGTGCCCTGTCTAACGAAAGACGAAAATGAGACTCAGAGAACCACGTGGCAGAGCCTGACTCTGGGTTCAAGCCCCAAATCATTTAATGCTAGTTAGTTACATGACATTGCAGGGGGAGCCTCGGTTTCCTCCTCCGTTAAATGGGGACAATAAGACCCTCCCTAATGACCGCACAGGGTGGCTGTGAGGTTCAGAGGTCACCACCATCAGGGTTAGTGTGCAGCCAGGAGGAAACCCCAGGGAAAGTTCCAGCCTCAGCCTTAACCAAGTGTACCTGGGTCTCACCTGCACTGACCTCTTTGTAGCTGGTGGTGTTTTGTCGACCTTGTTGAGGAGAGAGGGTGACATGTCCAAAGGCTAGGAGGGGATCACCATTCCCCGAAGGGCACCAGTCCAACTGTTACCTGGATTAGAAACTGAAGTTCTTCCACGAAGGCAGGAAGGGGCCCATAAGACTGTGTCTGTGGTGCTCATGGTAATGTGAACTTTAAGGGTCCTGGAAGGAATTGCAAACTAAACCCTTGACGTGTTTCTACAGCTCCCATCGCCACCACGTTCCATAAACCGAAGCTGTTAAAGCCACAAAGGAAAGTCACCCTGGTGAGTAACTACATTCTCTGTGCTGTCCCCTCAAGCCCTAAACACACTCTGGTCCAAGGAGTACCTTTATTGACTCAAAACATGCTCCAAGTTCTTGGTGCTTCGTCCAAGCAAGGCCGTTCTCTCTTCTTGGGTCAGCTTTCGAGCCAATTTTTCTCCATACCTAGTTCCCAGAGTGGCTTTTTAAATATCCACATAGGATTGCTTTTTATCATCCATGCTCCTTTTTGAAAAGAAGGAAAAAAAAATCACATTCTGGAATGTTTAAAATATAAAGTGGACCAGCTTGTATACATTTGTCTTGATAACCACTCTGAAGAGACTGCAAAAGAACCTTCCAGAATAAATGCACTTTTTATTTTGAAATACTTTTTAGATTTACAAAAGCATTAGAAAGATGATACAGAAAGTTCCTGTCTACTGTACGCCCAGCTTTTCCTAAGGTTAACATCTCACAAAGCTGTGGTGTATTTGTCAAAACTAAGAATTTAGCTTCAGCATATTACCATTAGCTGCACTCCAGATTCGGGTCAGATTTCAGCAGTTTTTCCATGAATGTTCTTTTTCTGGTGCAGGATCCCATCCAGGCTAGCACATGGATTTCATGGTCCTGTCTCCTTAACCTCTTCCAATCAGTGCCTCAGTTCTATGGCCTCGACACTTTTATTAAAGAGTAGTAGCTACATTTTTTAGAATGTCCCTTGCTTTGGGTTTCTCTGAGGTTTTTCAATGATTAGAAATGAGGTTATGGATTTGAGGGAAGAACAATACAGAAGAGATATGCCTTTCTCATTGCGTCCCATGGAGGGGACCTGCTGTGACATTCACCTTGACCACGTAGTGAGGGTGAGTCTGCCAGACTTCTTCATATAAAATCACTACTTTTTCCTCTCCATCCTCTATTCGTTAGAATTCAATCACTAAGTCCAGGTCACACTCAAGGGGAGTAGAGTGAAGCTGCACCTCCTGAAGGGAGGGGTATCAAAGACTTTGAGGACACATGAAAACCACCACAGTAATAGGTATTTTAGGGGAGATACATCAGCCTATGCAAATAGTGTGTTTTTCCTTGAACTTTCATCTACTTATTTTAGTGTTCATCTGTGGGTTTTGTTTGTAGCACTTATTACTATGGTGAATTAATGGTGATTTTCTGTTTTCCTCAACCCATCTCTGTTTACTACTTAAAATTCTTCTATAAGCAAGAGCTGGCTCCCTTCTCTCATTGATTTATTCACTAATTTCTTTACATCAGTGTGCATACATGGAGATCTAATTTCTTTTAAATGTGTACTTGTATTGTTATTCATTTTGTTGCTAATTTTGTTCAGCAGTTATATATTTGTGTGAGAAAGAGAGAGAGAAACAGAAAAAAAGAGGGAGAGAGAGGCAGAGAAACTCGCAAGCCTATTCTAAAATGTGTATGTATTGCAAAGGAAAAGAACAGAAGAGTGGAGTGTTTTTATATGCCAGTTCACAAAATTTACATCAAAACCACAGTAATTAAGCCATGTAGTAAGTAACTGGGCTTCCCTGGTGGCTGAGACAGTAAAGAATTTGCCTGCAATGCAGGAGACCCAGGTTCAATCCCTGGGTCGGGAAGATGCCCTGGGGGAAGACATGGCAGCCCATTCCAGTATTCTCGCCTAGAGAATTCCATGGACAGAGGAGCCTGGCGTGCTACAGTCCATGCGGTCACAAAGGGCTGGACACGACTGAGCGGCTAACACTTTTACTTCACTTTCAAGTAATGGTATTAGCACAAGAATAGACATATAAACCAAAAGAACATAATAAAGAGCCCCAAACATATCTGCATATGTATTGTCACTTGATTTTATGACAAAAGTGACATTGCAGTGCAGTGAAGAAGGGATTATCTTTTCCGTATGTGGTGATTATCTTTTCCATATGTGGTACCGTATATATGTGGTACTTCACACCACACAAAAAATTAATTAGTATGAAAGGTAAAAATAAAACTTTCTAAGCATAGTGTATCTACACAAGGTCAGGGCAAGCAAAGATTTTCAAATCTGTAATGTTGCGAGCTTGATGGTTGCAGTCAGAACCTATGTCCTTCTGAATCCAGAGCATAAGGTTTTAACCAGCTTATTCAAAGCTTTGTCTCAGAGGGAAACCTGGATCTCTATGCATGACTCTGACATCTCCTGGCTCAGCCTTACTCATGACCTATTCTGTGCCCAGGTTACCTGCTGTTCCTCTGGGCAGTATGGCTCCTCTGTTTTCCAAGAGAGAACCTCCTTTCCCCTGCAATGAATTGTGGGTTCTGTTTTCATGCAGTGTGATTCCATCTGGTTCATGTCATCAAAAATTCCTCACCATTTCTGCTCTATTGATTATACCAGTTTTGTCCTCAAATACAGCAGCAAAGGTTTTGCTAATTTCAATAGATCTATGGTCATTCAGTGGACTTTGGGAAACTCAGTTGAACACAGAGGCTGAAATGATCAACTTTTCTTAGAGCATCATGCATCCTACCCATGAGAATCAGACTCCCCGACAGTCTGAGCTCAGTCTCCCAGCTGTGCATACCACTGCACATTTGTGTAGGTGTGGGTGCATCTTTTCCAGATCTTTTATTCCTAATCCTGGTATTTATTAACAACCTCAGGACTGATTATACTTTTGTAAATTTTCCCCATTTTATATTCTAAGTTGCTCAGGGCCTGTTGTTTCTAATCTAATCTCTTACCCCTTGTAAAAACAGAAACTGCTCTTTATTGACGTTCCAATGATACATCCCAGGGATATATAAGAAAAAGTGCTTTTTTGCATGTCATAATATTTAATTCTCACAGTAAGTTCCCCCATTCCTAGAGTTGCCTGTGAGGACACTCAAACACTCTGCTTAAGGAAAGTGGGTTCTTACAACCCACAGTGGGTAGCGTTGCATCTCTCATGAAGAAAGGGCTGCTCCCCCAGAGGATGGAGCAATGTCAGCAGCCTTGAATGGGCAACACAGTGCTGCCTCCTTCAGCAGTTTGGGGCCACTTATAAATGAAGTAGATTCAGTAGCATTTAAAAAAGTAACTGGTCCCAATCACACATTTTTTTTGTTGTGGACTTTTTTGGGGGGGCTTATTAAAACCCCCTTCACACCTAAATTGGCCCCACATGAGTTTTTTTTTTTTTTTACTTTTCATCAAATTTTATTTTTTAATTAATTTATTTTAATTGGAGAATAATTATTTTGTAATATTGTGATGTTTTTACCATACATCAACATGAATTGGCCACAGGTATACATGTGTCCCCTGCATCTTGAACCTCCCTCCTACCTCCTTCCCGATGTTATGGACTTTTTGTTTGTTTGAGCTGTTGTGCTCCTCTGGGACAGAGATGCAACAGAGGAAATTCTTGATTTGCACAGAAAGTAAGTCAGGGCAGTTATATATGCAGTTCAAAATGGATTCTTTGTTTTATGGAAATATCCACAATGCAGTTATTAAATACCAATTTTCCTGTCCTTTGATCATTTAAAATATGAAAAGACTTAAAATGTTTTAAACCAAATTTTCCAGAAATGAGTCAATTTGAAAACCAGTTTGCATCTACAACAATACACAATAAAGGAAAGACCTGACTCTGAGTGTACCTCTGCCTGATCAGCAGTTTAGAGTCAAAAATACCAGGCCTAGTGTCTACAGGTTTTGGTTAATATTAAGATTTATTTTCCCAGTAGGCCAGCATTGACCTCAGTCTCAATTTGGTCGATATTTATCTCTCAGATCAATAAGTCTTGATGGCAGCTGAAACTACAGTCAATAGCTACCTGTTGACTCACACAGGCCTTGGTGGGTAATTTAGAAAATAATTTAAAAACATCTTTTCTTTGGGATCTGGTACTAGTTTAGGTGTTTAATTCTATAATTGCTGCATTTTGCCACAAGTCCATAATACAGTGCTTCCTAAAGTGGTCACAGGCCACAGAGTTCTCCAGCCCCCCAGCCCCTCTTTCCAGAGTGATGTTGACACATGCTCATCCCAAGAAAGCAACCTGCCCATTGCCTCCACTGACTCATTGGCAAGAAGGAAGAACCTCAATTTATTGGGCATTTACTATGTGTCAGCTCCTCTGTTAGGTGCTCTGTAGGCTCCATCTCCCTCCTCTCAACCACACATGCCGACTCCCAGCAGATCCTCGGACTCCAGGCAAAAATGACAGGCCTGGGTCCTTGCATTTTCACCCTCGAAGCATAACATCTTTTCTTATGTTTCCAAGATAACATGGCATTTTGCAAGAAGTATATATACCAGAGACTAATAGTGGTTTGAAAGAAAAAAATGATAGGACTCGAGAAGAAAAAAGAGGTGAGAAAGGCATTTTAGATGTTTTATAATTGAAGTGTCAAACTGCCTTCCCCTATTTTAACAAAACAACCAAACACAACAACCTGTTCTCAAAATTAGCTTATGAAGCCATGCCTATTACCAAGGGTCTTTCTGATGGACAGTGTGTTCCCTTTGTCTAACAACCTGGAATGCTGACAATGAATCATTATTCCAAAATATCAGTGGTTCTTCATCCTTAGGGGGCCAGGATGCATTTTCTCAAAACTCAAAATGTGTAGTTTTCCTTCCAGTTGGTGGTGGGGGCATGGGTACTAGGTCAAAGACTCCCAGAGGCCTTCAGGGGACCCCTGTTTCCTCCCCATGGTTTTGGAGTCCCTGAACCCACTGAGATAATTCGCACACTTCCAGAAAAGGCTGATGTTGCTTCCTTGTCTCAGAAGGAACAGAATATGTTTGATTTCTTTTTCTTGCCCTGGGTCCCTTATTGATTCAGAGACCTCGTGGAGGAAGAGAAAACAGTTTCTGTGATGGGGAGGCGAGACCCCAATAGTAACAGGGACTGTGAGCCGGAGGGTCGGGTTGGCAGCATCCCCAGACCGACTCACAGAGGATGCAGGCCCGTGGGCTCCTTCTGCCGCAGGGTCACTCCTCTTCACTGAGGCTGCCTCAGTGTATTACCTCTG